TTTTTTTTTTTTTTTTTTTTTAAATCCGTCTCAGCTCTGGTTCCAGAATTTAAATGCAAATATACAAAACATATATTTTAATGCTTCTTAAATCAGCAAGAAACTGCAAATACATCTCTTACTACAACTAGATAATATCATTTCAACTAAGGCTATACGGTAGCTGCAGAGTCTTCGTCTGAACTCCTGCAGTTACTGCTTTTCCTGAAGCCTTTCCATGTGTAACCCATGAAGGTAGGACTGATGGGCAAGAAGCTGAAGCATCTGTACTTTTTGATAAAGTTCATGCCAAAGGGCAAATCGTAAGTTTCCATGCCATCCAGGGACTTGCTTCCTTTACCCACTCCTTTCTTCCACTTCCGGATTCCTCTCTCCTCTGGACTTCCTGAGTTGAAAAATATATAGATACGGAAAACATTTATTTCCAAGGCATTCGGTTCCATAAGCAATCAGCCTAGAAAAGCATACAGCATCCACAAAGGGAAGAAGGGAATTGCTGTTACCGAGGAAAAGCCCCTGTAATATGGGACTTGATCAATGGGAGTTTTGCAACCGACTTGAATGCAAAGAAGATCAGGCTTATATGATTGCCTACAAAGGAAACGATTTAAATCTATCTGTTCTTTCCTAGTGTTATTTTTAATCATTAATGCATCTTTGCACAAAATGAAATATGTAAGCTCAAAGATCTGCTAGTGGGGTTATAACTGAGATACAGATATTTAGGTACTTCCCCCAGTCAATCATTGTTGGTCTCGTCCTGTACACAGTTCCAAGTCCCTATCCCTGAACCATGTTCAGGGATGGACATCCCAGTTAACAGTAAAACAACTCATTCAGAATGAGAGGTCAAACAGTTATTATTACAGTATTATTATTACTTGACCAAGCTGACCTGGAATGGTATTATCCAAAATAAAGGCCACGCAGCCTCCAACAAACATGGCTGTAGTCAGAAGAACATTTAACACTTGGTCAATGCCTGCTATTCCTGGGGTGGGGAGGGCGGAGGGAAAAAAAAAGGGAAGGGGGAGAGAGAGAGAGAGAGAGAGAGAAGAGAAGAGAATTAGATCCAAAGGCTACATTATCTGCACACCCACCCTTGTGCCCTGATCTCCACCAACAACTTTAGTGACCTCACCATACGCCCCTTCCAACTCGAATGAAAACAGTTTAGAGGAACCTCTCCACAACCGAGCCCAGTGTGTGCGCTTTACATACTCATTTTACAGTCTGCCCTTTTAGATTTAAATCAGATGGAATGCTCAGCCTTAAGGAATTCATTCCGGATAGATTTTAAGGAAGAAATAAAGTACCGTTATCTATATTAGAGAGACTTTTATTAACGTAAGAGGAAAGGTTCTATGGGAAATGTCAAAATGACAAAGATTATTTTCATAATTTAACACGATGACTAAAACAGCATTATTTTTAACTTTCATTCCTGAAATGGCAAGTAGTGTATAAGGTTAATTCACTAAGGGTTATTGTACTATGGTTTTTAATTTATTATTTTATTTATTTAAATAACCTTCCTTAAAACAACTCTCAAATGACTGGCTAAATTAGTCCCTGAATATGGTTTTGCAGTAGCACAATTTAAAAGTTAGTTTGCAATAGCATATCTGAGTTGCTGTTTCCAGTTCTTTATAACACACTGAAATTAATCCCATTGGTGGCAGAAATTAAAGAAGCTTCTCCATGGGTTTGAGCAAACAAATCATTTGCCCAATAAAATGTCTGTAATTCAAGAGATTGTTTCCTTCACCAACTGCAGTGGCAAGAGAAAACAGCACCACAGGGCTCTCAGAGCTTAACACTAACTCCCACATTTTACGATTTAACTCTCTTATCTAATGCATTATTCTCCCTGCCCAACTAGTCTGTCCAATCTCAATCACAGAAATCCTCAACTTTACTCCCTCCGGAACAATCAGCACGAGTTTCATCCCCTCACTGTTCATCCACCTGCTGCTTTTCCAATGGCTCTTAGTTTCTTATTTATTACAGTTTTCCCTTGCTTTTGTTTTAGCCTATAAATCATGGTGGGAGAGAGTTTTATGTACAGTGCAAAGAAAAGATGCATTGCACATGAAAGAAAGAAGTTCATACCTGTAACCAGTGGATTTTGTTTGAGGTAACTTGGAAGGACAAGTCCAAAGAAGATGGAAAATCCAAGTACAAAGAGGTTACGGGAAGAATTTAAGTCTATGAACTGGAGGTTGGACAGCCCCACAGCTGTAATCATTCCTACATTGAAAAAAACAAAAACAGAAAACCAAAGTCTTAGCTTGCAGAAGTCCTACCCTTTTGTTAATGGTCAGTTAATATAAAGACATACACACCCCCAAAGTCGCAGGCTGGAAAAACAGTCAGATGAATGAAGAGCAGCTAAGAACTGTACTACCTACCAAAAAGAGTGCAGAAGAGGGCACCAAGCACTGGGTCAGGCAGGGATGCAAACAGTGCACTGAACTTCCCAACCATTCCAAGTAGGAGCATGAAGGCTGCACCATACTGAATAACCCGGCGGCTTCCAACCTACGGAGAACAAAGGGAAGGGCAGAGTTCTGCAAAGGAAATACACATGCAGTCCAGCTTTTTCCAACCAGGAAAGCCTGAAATGGTATTTTCTATTCTCTCTTGAGCTCATCTTCCAACAGAGCGTACTGAATGCCTGTCCTCTTCTATGGCATCACCATGCACTGCACTTGCTGTTCTGGCTGAGACAGTTTGCTGAGGAAGACTTTGTACTCCCCAGTGAAACACACAAAGTCCCTACACACATACCCTGTGGGAACTGGGAGTCATCATGGAAATAAAATCTCTCAATTTCAGAGCTCTTAAATTTTATGACCTGCTTCTTTCACTTGGAATTTTCCCCTGTTAATACATAGCTTGCACTGCCATTACAAGCATCCTGGCATTCCCAGTTTTAAAACACAGCCGGTCACATTAACGGAACCATTAGCCTCTGAAAACGTAACGGTCTTACCTACTGTGCTCATTTGCACCCTGACTTTAGGATACAGACTTCTAATGAAAATAAACAAAATTATCTTGACCTGTCATATTCATTTGTATTTTCATATTTAATGCTTTTCATAATTAGCGTTTCTGTAGGAAATGCCCATCAATCAGAAGGAAGACAGGGAATCACTAGATGGTGCTGTTAGCGTTTATACTGTCATCTGCGTATACTTGTAAGAAAAATGGCTGAAGAAAATCCAGAAAATTCAACAGATGTGTCCAAAAATAAAACCTTCCTCTTGTTCTCTTGTCTTAAACTAGATACTGAATTTAATTTTAAAAGCTTCATGACATTAAGTGGAGTGAATAGTTTCTGACCTTGGTAATCACAAACCCAGTTTATTCTGTGTTCATCTTTTATGCAAAATATTTAACAAAAAGCATCTACAGTCATGGCATAACTTACATTGATTTGATGAAATCAACATGGTTAAAAATATGGAATACAAGCTAATCTTAAAGGGTGCTCTAAGGTCCTTTCCAAATCAATAAGGGACTTCAGCTGCTGCCTAACTCAGCATACCAACAGTCTCAATATTCAAAAAGGCCTACTCATGTGCTCAAAGTTCTCCTTATTTTAAAGATCTCCAACATCCAAATCAAATAACTGCATCTGTAAACATCCATGGACCACATAACATTAACCAGGCCACTACTCTATCACCCAGACCCACAGGCCTGAGAGTTCAGCCACTTCTGTCCAGGTGGGCATCCCACATGCAAGTCCCAAGTGCAGAAGCCTTGGGGTTTGGAAGCCCCCAGTCACACCTGATCCTAGCCAAAAGGCCGAGTTGCACACATTATTTAACTTAGCTCCTGAACAGGAATCTATAATCCAGAACTCAGAGCCAAAGGATGCCTAGCACAATACAAACCTGTAAGGAGCTAAGAACAAGCAGCTGTTGGAAGGTCACCTTTATTCTC